ACCTGATAAAAGGTCCCCCTGGTTACCTCACCTTTTTCTCTTCGAGAAATTGTGACCAAAATTAATCTATGACTTTAGAGAAAGTTAATGACCCTGATGGGTTCCAGAAAATCTATGCAAAAATATTTACCATATTGTACAATATTGAGTTCTTATTTTCTGTTCTATTGGTGGTTTATACAATAGATTCTTATCCACTAGTTTAAATAAAAGTTATTCTCCAATATTTGCAAGCAGGGGAGGAATCCTTTTATGTTAGAATTTGTTTCTCTGAAAAATAGGGATATAAGATTTTAAGTGAGGGTCAAGGCCTTCAATTGTGTCTATCACATTAAGCTATGGAAAATGGTTTTTAAAAATGGGAATCTCAGATTGTATTCATGAGAAACTTATATACAGGTCAGGAAGCCATAGTATGAACATTAACAGTGTGAAACAGACTGGTTCCTGGTTGTTAAACGAGTGTGATAAGATTGCATATTCTCCTCTTATTTATTTAAACTATATGCTAAATATATATTAAGGGAAGTTGGAGTGGAAAAAGATGAGCATGGTTTTAAAACTAGAAGAAGAAAAATTAATAACCTGCATGACATCCCTTGATAGCTGAAAATGCAAAGAATCTGCAAGCTGTAGTAATAAAAGTTAAGGAGCAAAGTGGAAACAATGGGACTAAATGAAGTATAAAGAAGACCAATCTAATGACAACAGGTAGAACAACCAGCCTTAGAATTGGCAATGAAGATACTGAAGTAGTGAATAGCTACTGTCTTCTAGGATCAACCATCAAGAATAAAGAAACAAGCAATCAGAATTCGGCAGTCAGAAAGGCCTTGGAAAAGATATTCAAATGCTGTGATGTGTTTATACCTACAAAATTCAGAATCCTGCAAACCCTGGTATTTCCTATGAAACTCTATGGAAGTGAAAGTTGGATTTTAAAGAAGCAGGATAGGAAGCGTTTTGATGCCTCTGAACTTTGGTTTTGGAGAAGACTCGTGAGAACACCGTGAATAGCCAACAAAATAAGCCAGTAGGTCATTGAACAAATCAATCCAGTTCTCCTTTGAAGAACAACCAACCAGGTTCAAATTATTCTACTTTGGAATATTATGGGAAGACTTATCTTTCTGGAAAAGGATCTAATGGTGAAAAAGATGGCAGGAAAGAGAAGAGGACGATTAGCAGCAATGTGGTTGGACTTAATTACAGTGGTGATGACTGTAACATTGGAAGCCTTTTAGGACCATATTAGGGATAGATTGTCATGGAGATTTTCTCCACAATTTGATGGCACATTCTCTCCCCCTCTCCCTCCCTCTCCTTATCTCTCTCTCTCCCCCTCCCCCTCCCTCTCCCCTCCCACTCCCTCTCCCCCCCCCCTCTCCCTCCCTCTCATCTCTCTCTCTCCCTCCCCTTATCTTTCTCTCTCCCTTTCCTTCCCTCTCCTTATCTCTCTCCCTCCCTCTTTCCCCCTCCCTCTTCCCCCTCTCCCTCCCTCTCCTTATCTCTCTCTCCCTCTCCTTATCTTTCTTTCTCCCTCTCCTTCCCTCTCCTTATCTCTCTCTCTCCCTATCCTTCTCTCTCCCTCTCCCTCTCTCCCCTTCCCCCTCCCTCTTTCCCCCTCTCCTTCTTTCTCCTTATCTCTCTTTCCCCCTCTCCCTCCCTATCCTTATCTCTCTCCCCCTCCCCCTCCCAATCTCTCTCTCTCTCTTCCTCCCTATCCTTCTCTCTCTCTCTCTCCCTTACTCAATCCCTCAATCCCTCTCTCTCACTCATAGATCGTAGTTTTTTCTTCTATTTTTAACTAATACCCAACTTTTTCTATCCACCCCGAATCAGCCCAGCGATGCCCTCGACGTGATGTCCCAGTGCCTGGAAGTGGTGCGGCTCTGGATGGGGAGGAACAAGCTTCGGCTCAACCCTGCCAAGACAGAGAGGCTGTCTTTGCAGGGTTGAGCAGAAGCTTGTCCCAGGGGGGCATTTGCCCAGATTCGTCTGGTGCGCCAGTTACGCCCCTACCTGGACCGAGATGCCCTACGCACGGTCACTCATGCGCTGGTCACCTCCTGGATTGACTACTGCAACTCTGGGGCTGCCCCTGAAGACCACTTGGAGGCTTCAGCTGGTGCAGAATGCGGCCGCCCGGGTAGTGATGGAGTGTCCTGACACTCTTATTTTACACCCCTCCTGCGCGACCTGCATTGGTTACCAGTTGCCCTCCGTGTGAGATTCAAGGTGCTAGTGATTACCTATAAAGCCCCATATGGCTTAGGACCGGGGTATTTGGCGGACTTCTGCGGCCAGCAACAGCTCCCCATCGCCCGGTGCGTTCCCACAGAGAGGGCCTACTCGGGGTGCCGTCAGCCAGACAGTGTCAGTTGGCGGCCCCTAGGGAGCGGGCCTTCTCTGTGTGCGCACCTACCCTCTGGAATCAGCTCCCCCTGGAGCTCCAGATGGCCCCCGACCTTCGCTCTTTCCGCAGCGAACTAAAAACGTGACTATTTCGCCTGGCCGGCCTGGACTGATGGGGGTTTTAAAATGGATTTTAATTGATTTTAGGGATTTTATGTGTAACTTTTAACCCAAGATTTTGTTTTATTTTTCTGTTTTATTGTTGTGAGCCGCCCTGAGTCCTCTTGGAGAAAGGGGCGGCATATAAGTCTAAACAAATAAATAAATAATTGCTTTTGTTCAAAACAGAGAAAATGAAGCAGCATTTTTATTTAAATACAAATTTAAAAATTAGTATAATTTCTTAGATATTTCTAAAGTGATTTCCTAAATAAATTTGGGTTGTATTTAGTTGCTTTTATTCAACTCCCAGATCACATATTTCTCCCTATTTTAAATTTACAAGACAAGTTGAGAATGCCCTAATTCTACTTTTTTTCCTTGTCTTTGGTTTTAGAACACTTGCTTAATGCTTATGCCATTAGAACTGTGAAATCGCTAACAAGATTGCAGTAGATAAGAGAATTTTGTGGTATCGTAGATGGTGAAGATAACAGGGAACTTTCTTAGCAACAGTACTGGCAAACATCCCAAATTTTAATCCCTAAGATATAAAAAGCAGGCATTATGTGAGGAAAGCCATGTTAGTCTATGGCAACCAAAATTCAGGAGGAGTCAGAAAGCACCTTTTCAGACTACCAAATTTATTAAAAGGCATAAGCTTTTATAAACTGCAGCTCATTTAGCGGATGCAATGGAGTGGCTAGACATCAGTAGGATTTAAAGTGGAATGAGGAAAAAGAGAAAGGAAGACAGATGCAAGCTACATGTAAGATACATTACATGTACCATATAAAATTTAACAATCTGTAATATGTTAAAAACCCATCATGTTTGCTGACAGCTTGACATCATACTTTTGATGTTTATGAGTTCAGCTATGACTTGCTCAATTCAGCTAGTATAGTTTGTTTTTTCCAAATTGGTTACTTTGCAATCTATAATGGAGGATCACAGGGGGTTGAAATGCTCTGACATTACTAGTTTTGAGTTCCGATATCATATCTGTGTCTATTACTTTTTCTGTGAAAAAATCCCAATTGTCTTACACTGAATCCTGAGGGACATTGCTGGCAGATCAAGGCATATGTCACATTAGAAGAGCACTTCTAATCTTGTGTGTGAAGTTGTTGGGGCCTGAGGTGGTGCTATTGATGTAAATGTGGTAGCAAAATAGGTCTCTGAATTTATTACAAGATCTGGTTCCCATGTTAGCATCATTGTTCTGTCATTTCTTATTCCTCATGAGAATCTGCTTCACTTTGGATGCATATGCAAGTAGGGGCCTGCCACCCAGTGCTGGAAAAGTGCCGTGTCATCAAGTATCAGCTAAGGGAGGGTAGGCTTTGTGCCTTCAACTTAGTCTTGACTCCTGGCAACTCCCTGGACAAGTTCTTGTCATTTTCTTGGTAACAAGTTTTTTTTAAAAAAAAAATAATTTGCTTTGCTTTCTGTCTAGGGTTGAGAAGTAGTTACTGGCCCAAAAGACACCGAACTGGCTTTGAGCCTTAGCTGGGATTAGAACACACATCTCTCACTGATGATGTTATCTAGTTGGGTAATGAAACGTCGGCAAGAAAACTGCCAAGCTCAGAGAGCACCAAGGACATCACGTCTCCACGTTTCTAACTTGGTACCTTAACCAAACTGGCTCTCACTATGGATTGTACCTCATTAATAATGCATTAGAGTGGTTTTTATTGAGTAGTTTTAATTTATAATATGTATTATAAATTAAGGGCTTTTCCTTCCCCCTCTTAAGACTTTTGATATCACATTACATTATGATCACAGTTCTAAGTATACATATATTTTGTTGGTCTGTTTGAGATAAACAATCTTATGTATCTACAGTCAGGTCCTACACCGTTCACCTGAGTTGGATGTACATACCCTCAAATTAAAGCTGACAGTCTGCAGTTAAAGCACATTGTGTTTGTTTCATTCCAACTCCATTGTGGTGGTGTATAGAGCCAAAGATGTTAGAATTGTGTCGATGTCCCAATATTTCTGGACCTGACTCTATGTACTGAAAGGAAGGCACAATGTTCATCCTGATGGCTAATATTTCACCCTAATAATTTACTCAGTGAGTAAAATGCCTTTAGTTTAAACAGTCATCTTTGAACTACATGAGAACCAGTATTCTAAACAAGTCCAGAAACTACGAAATTAAGCAGCTTTAATTCCATATCTGGAAAGCAATCCATTCCTAGCCCCTCTTACACAAGAGCTATTTTGTGGCAGATAAAAACTCCCGAGACTGTTCTTGGAGAGAGAGAGAGACAGACAGACAGAGAGAAAGATAAATGCAGGAAGAAACCCCAGACTCATCTGGATCCATCATGAGTTCCAGGCAGAAATTCAACCTTGTCTTTTGCCGCCTGTCAATATTACCGAGTATTCCATGGGGAGATTCCATCTACAGCACAGAGAGGGCTCTCTTTGTTCTAAGGGTTAGCTTTATATCAAAATGTCATGCTTACTGTATGACTAGTTTCTCTGTGATGATGGCAGCCAACAAAATGGCATTCTTCCCTGGTAGCACATTTCTTGGTGACAGAGAGGCTCCTTCCATGACTAGTAAAGTGATGGACCGTTAAACAGTACTGAGTGTCTAAACAATCAAAAAGAGAGAGAGAGAGAGAAAGAGAGAGAAGAAAGCAAAAAAGAACATCAGCATTCTTTTACGATTATATTTTATAAGCTCAGACATGCTGACTTAGCTTTTTCACTAAAAATCGAAATCCTACTAACGTCTGAATACGTGCCCTAAAATTATTGACACATAAACCAAGTTTTTTTCTTGACTGGAATATTTCATATATTATTTTCCTGTATTCTCTAACCTTAGGGTGTACATTTCCTGATCCTTTTCCTTTTTGAAAATGATGACTGTCCACACATCAATATATGGCCTGGCTTTCCATTGGCTGCAGATTTTTTCTGAATTGTGGAAATTATGTACCACCACTCACCATATTGCTGATGAGAATTCTAGCATATGAAGGCCCCAAGTGATTTTTTTCCCTAATGGTTGGAAAATATGTATAATCCACCCTTCCTACATTCTCTTGGCAAAAATCCTTCCCACCCAGAAGGAAAAGCAGCTGTGTTGCAGCTCCATACAGTGGGCAGATAGTGGAGGAGAAACCAATAGTCCTAATACCTGGGAATTCTGGGATTGAACTTCTCAAGTCTGTTGGGCTTCAGGTTGGGAAGTTTATATTATATCAGTGTCAGAATTTATGTATTAAATTTCTATCCTGCTGACAGAATGGACAGCACATAAATCAATCAATCAATTTCTAGGGGTCCTTAGTGTTCTCTGAGCTTGGTTGTTTTCTTGCAGACATTTCATTACCCAAGCAGGTAACATCATCAGTGCTATTAAGGAGTAGTTTGCTCTCAGTTTATGTTCTAGTGGCCTGCCCTGACAATATTGGTGGGAGTGGTTTTGAAGGTTCTTTGGTTGAGCTGTTTCCTGTTAGCTAATTTGGCAGTTCCTTGGTTGGGATATTGTTTATTTGACTGTTTGTCTGATGTTCATCTTGGAGCTAATCTATGCTCATCTAAGTGCCGATTGCTGGTGGGCAGGGGTGGGTTCTAAATTTTTTTACTACCGGTTCTGTGGGCATGGCTTATTTTGTGGGTGTGGCTTGACAATTATTTAGTATTTAGCAGAGGTACTGGTCTACCAGGCTTTTAATTGCTTGCAGAGCTGTACCGGTCTACCCATTTATTTTTGCAGGCACTGGTCTACTCATGTATTTTTGCAGGCACTGGTCTACCCATTTATTTTTGCAGGCACCGGTCTACTCATGTATTTTTGCAGGCACTGGTCTACCCATTTATTTTTGGAGGCACCGGTCTACCACCAAACTGCCTTTCATCACTGATCAGCTGTAGGGTGGCCCTTTGAAGCCCCGCAGCAACAGTTTAAACAGTTTTTACTTATAGCCCATCAGCTGGGACTCAGGAGGCAGCAATAGATTGGGGGTGGGGCCAAATAAAATGTAAGAATAACGCGGGGTGGAGTCGGGGGTTGGGGGGGCAGAACCGGTTTGGTGACATCATATCGTCACCACTACCGGCTCGGTGGAAGCGGGAGGAACCAGGAGGAACCTATCACTGCTGGTGGGGAAATGTTTTGGTCTTCACCCCCACTGACAGGGCAAGCCACTAGAACACATGTATCAAACTTGGGCACCACGTTGCCATCATGTAACATATCACATTTTTTTTCCCTTTGCAGAGCTGGGGTGGGCATGGCCTGCGCGTGACACATCTGGCCCACAGTTTGACAGTCCTGCACTAGAATATAAAATGAGAGCAGATCCCACTGCTTACTAGCACTGATGATGTTACCTAGTTTGGATAATGAAACATCTGCAAGAAAACAACCAAGCAAGAAAACAAACAAGAGCACCAAGAATCTCTCACTTCAATCCTGAGCTACAAATATTCTTTATTGGTAAATACATTTCTGTTTAATGTTGGCTCGCTCTGGATTGTGTGAGAAAGGATTCTCCTCTTGTTTTGTTCAGTTCCTGTGCAACTGAACAAAACAAGAGGAGAAAGGGAACAGCCATATGAGATAGACACAGGCTGTTAAACTTTATATTGACACCTCAAAAGGATACTATAGATAAGCATACAGTCAGCTATAAATCTGACAGGTGGAAGTACACATAGACTTCACCTTTATTGTTAGTCTCATGTAATATTGTAGTGAATCCAGGAAAGCAGCTATAGATTCCAGAAGCCATTAGTTCTCTGGATTCCTAAATCCTGCTAACCACCTGATGCCCTTAATATGACTGAGTTAATTGGAAAAGTTAAAATAAATGCTTTCCATATACTTACTCTGAGGACACCACTTATCTTCAGCCCATCTGTTACAGTTGAAATTGTCAATAACATTGTCACATGTAAAGCACTTGAAGCTGCTTGGAAATGGAGTAGCTTTAAAATTAAATGAAAGGAGGGAAATGTTAAATACTTTATTCTGATGACTCTAAATTCTCCTATTCCCCTCAATTAGTCCCCAAACAGGAGGGAATTATTTTACAATATACTATCTTCAATTAACATTTTTTCCCCTAACACAAGCGTAAGCATATTAGAGCTAAGCCCCATTAAGTTCACTTGGATTTACTCCCCAAGTGATTAAGCAAAAAATAGTCTTTTAAAAGGTGCAAAATCTGCTTCGCTTGATTTTAACTTTACATTGTGTTAGAAGACTGGTTCAAGTGAACCTAGAACAGATCCACAACATGAACGTTGTCCAGATGTGTGGACTTCAATTCCCAGAAATCCTGATAGGAAAGCCACAACTGAACGTTCTGGGATGTGAAGACTACACATCTGGAGAGTATCCAAACTGGGAAAGGTTGACCTAGGAATGTCTATGGAGATTCTCAATCATCCAGGTCAGTAGTGGGTTGCCCCTGGTTTGCACCGGTTCTATAGAACTGGTAGTAAAACCGGCGGGAGGCTCCGCCCACCGACCCTGATGTCATCAGAACGCGCTCATGTGCACGCGCACAGCCCCATTGCAAACCAGTAGTAAAGGTAAGTAGAACCCACGCCTGATCCAGGTCATGGTTATCCCAAAGATGCTTTTCCAAAAGGCAACTAGACTTGCTTTTTTCCTTTGGAAAAAGGAAAAAAACTAAGAAAGTCCAGTTGCCTTTTGGAAAAGCCTCTTTTGGGTTGATCTAAAAGTAAATATGTGCCATGCCCAAATGTTCTATTGATATGCAACATTAACAAGCTCCAAGGATCTGATGCAAGGGGAGAGCAACTAAGTCCAATATTTGCTTAGTCCAGGGGCCCCTTTAAGGGAAACTTTAAGATGTGTGGACTTCAACTCCCAGAATTCTCCAGCCATCATGGTGTCTTAAAGTTTGGGAACTTCCCAAGATTGGGAAATCCTGTCTTACTCCATTGTGGGACATCTTCATTTCCTTTGCAGTAAATTATGAGACATGCTGCTCTTTGCAACTTCCTATATAGCACTGGTTAAAGTGGTGGATTAGAAGCAGGGTCCACAGGCCATGGAAACTCACTCTGTAACTTCAATCCAATTGCTCTCTCTATGCTCAAGCTACCTTTCAACTCTGCTATTGGGGGAGGGAGAGGGAATAGATCTGGCTCTCCACCTAAACATTGATTCATACTGAATAAAAATAATAATACTGCTGCCACATTTGCCAATAAACAGATCAGATGCCTGAACGCTCCACCGAAGTAGCATGCACTGGGCTTTTTCTGATGTGCCTTCCATCAAACAGGACAAACATCAAAAACTGCAGTGCTCAAGAATTGCTGCAGAACCTTTGCAAACTGTGCACGCAGCAAAAGTATTAGAAGCACATAGGGAAGGCAATAAAAAGGTATTATAACTTAATCAGATGAACACCCAGGTGCACATTTTAGGCCATTAATCAGGCATTCCACCTAATAATTAACTATCACCGAAGACAGTCAAATTAATGTTTTGCTTTTAGGCCCATGCATAATTGCAATATAAAATAACCTTTTAAAAAGGTTTGAAGGGCTTAACATAAAATGGCTGGAAATGTTTGGAAAGGAGTTATTTACCGATGCTAAAGAACTGGAACGGTCTACTTACGGTCTATTGGAAGTCTCACGTTATAGAAGTTGATGTTCTTGGCTAAAATCCAGTTGCCTGAAACTAGGAGGATCTGAACAAAAGCTACGGCCAGCAAGTGACAGAATAATGGCATACCGTCAATGTACCTCAGAGCTTAATGCTCTCATACCTATAAGGGAGAGGAGGGAGAGTGAGAAAAGGAGAGAAATGTCACTTGGTTATAAAAAAGAGCAAGAGGACGGAGTATATTTAGCATAATCTCTACAATATTAGCCTCATAACACTAATGATAGAATGAAGATAATTGGGGGGGGGGAGAATCAGCACTGCAAAGCTAAGCTGTTCCTGCCTCCTACAGGAAAGGTTTGGGCAATACAGGAAAACTAAATACCCTGGCAGGAGGGGCAGCAGAGGAAAGAAAATAAAACAAAACAAAACACCACCTGGGTTTAAGCTTGAATGGATCAAATTAAGAGATTTAGAAAGTACGAGACAAGAGTTCACAGGCAATTTATCCTTCATTAGGTAATGTCTCTAAATTAAGTAACAGTCTTGACATGTTTATGAACAGGTAATTGTCCCAAAATGAATACTCGGATCATTTATTTATTTATTTATTTTATTGAATTTCTATACCGCCCTACTCCCGAAGGACTCAGGGCGGTGCACAGCCATGAAATAAAACACATAAATATACAAAATTTAAGATCAAATAAAAATGAATTAAATAAATTTGGCTGAATTAATACTAATTAAAAACCCATAATTTTAAAATACATTTTAAAGGTGGTAATATCTACTATTCATCATTGTGAATAGTAGATATTACCACCTTTTCCCCATAGATGTTGCTCCAGGGCTTCTGATGAAATGGAAAGCTTAGAACACATCTCACTGGGATGTAGATTTTACAAGGAACCACACCGCCAACTAAGTCAACCTTTGAAATGGCTGGCTAACCAGACCAATGGTATTTAGAATTTGTTTCTTAAAAAGAAACAATCTGAAACCATCTACATGATAGCTAAATCCCAGAAGTAGTGGAATACTTAATGAGATTGTATTCTATTCTCAGGGAACGTGGTGGCTCAGTGGCTAAGATGCTGAGTTGTGGATTCAAAGGTCGGCAGTTCAATGGTTCGAATCCCTAGTGCCGCGTAATGGGGCGAGCTCCCATAACTTGTCCCAGCTTCTGCCAACCTAGCAGTTTGAAAGCACGTAAAAAATGCAAGTAGAAAAATAGGGACCACCTTTGGTGGGAAGGTAACAGTGTTCTGTGTGCCTTTGGCGTTTAGTCATGCCAGCCACATAACCACGGAGACGTCTTTGGACAGCGCTGGCTCTTCGGCTTTGAAACGGAGATGAGCACCGCCCCCTAGAGTCGGGAATGACTAGCACATAAGTGCGAGGGGAACTTTTACCTTTACCTTATTCTATTCTCAAAGTGTATTTAGTTGTTCTAAGTTTTATGTTCTGATCTAGGACTCTAGGAAGATGTTCATTCCTACTCAAGTCATCTCCTTTTACTCTTCATTAATTTGTCTAAAATAGTAGGATACTGTGGAATAGAATAACAGAGTTGGAAGAGACCTTGGAACAGCGGTGAAATCCACTTACCTTTGCTACCGGTTTGGGAACAGGAGCATGCAGGAGCGCATATGCGCTATGCACGCCTCTTCTGTGCATGCACAGAGGGTAAAAAACGGGACATAATGATGTCCTGGTGGGTGGGCGGAGCCTCCCACCACCGGTGCTACCTGTTCACGTGAGCCAGATAGATCCGACCGGATTTCACCACTGCCTTGGAGGTCTTCTAACCCAACCCCTTGCTCAAACAGGAAACGCTATACCATTTCAGACAAAAGGTGGTCCAATCTCTTCGCAAAATCCTCCAGTGTTGGAGCATCTACAACTTCTGAAGGCAAATTGTTCTCACTGTCAGGAAATCACATGTCCCTGAGTCATGTGATCAACTTTAGAGACCTTTTGATAAGCAAAATCAATGGGGGGGGAGCCAGATTCTCTTAACAACCGTACTACTATTTTAACAACTGCAGTGATTCAAATTAAATTAAAACATTCCCAGGAAATGTCAAACCAGCTTGTCCTTATCACATCCAGCTATCCAGGGAACATGAGCATTCTTCTTAGGAAAAATTCTCCTCCAGTTTTGGCTGCTACAAAGCAACCTTCTACATCTCCCGGACCTGTGTCCACCCGAAGACCCTTGCTGCTAAAAGGAAACCCAATCATTTTCTGAAACTGTATTATTCCGTGGCACCTGCCAGCAGAATTTAGAAGATATGGCTGAGAATTTCAACCAGGCACACTTCTGGCACAGCTGCATCATTAAGGGTCCTTGCATATAAATAGTAGTTTCACAGGAAGAGTACTGCTTCCTGCCATCTATACAACGCTGCCATCTTAAAGATCTTTTTGTATCTGTTTGTCACTAAGCAGATAGGGATTGGCTGGGGGGTTTTTTCCCCCTGTTTTGCTCTGCTGAGATTCTTTTGCTTCCAAGTTAGCACAAGGCTGTTTGAAAGAGGCACAAGGCAATTAAATACTTCACAGAGATTTTTGCCTGCAGAACACTGTGGATTATTTCAGTTTAGTAATGTTTGGATGGCTAACCAACAAAGTCAGATGGGAACAGTAGGATGCCTTTAAAAAGATTCTAAAAATGTCATAAATGTTGGCTGCCTATGCTGCTAAAAATCCCTGCATTTCCCCCCAGTTTGGTCTTAAAACTGTATCACATTGTACAGTATTCTTCAAGCATCCCATTAGCTAAAGAGTTCACAATCTAATGTAACTCATACATGTTTCAACTTCTGTTTACTTTGTGAGCATTCATTGTTTGTCCACCACAGGAACACAACTTCCATTTATTTTATATCAAACATGAACGGGTGCCTCTAATAGCCCATAATACACAGCAAAAACACAAAACTGCACCTGTACCACATAAGTTTCTTTCTAAATGTTGATGCTTAAATATGAATTGCTTGAGGCAAAGCAAGAACACAAGTTAAATGTATTTCACACATTACACTGGTAATATAATGTAGCATGTCAACCAGTCAAAATATGAATTCAGAACTTTTGCAGTCCTCCCTGTCATTTCCTGCTGATCTGATCTGTGATGCCAGAATAATTCAAAACCAAAATTAAACTCCAGACCATGTGCAAACTCAAACATGGTGCTTCCTGAGTTAGTTTGAGGCTTCTTGGCCCATATTAAAACAATAGATCAGTTTGGATCTCTGGATGGTAAGAGATCTGTACTTTTTCTGCAACTTGAAAGACAATGAAAGGGACATCAGAAAAAGAAAAAAAGGAGATGGCCTTGGGCAATGCAAATCTGTGATTTCACTTCCTTGTTTTTTTTTACAAAAATGTCAAATTTGGTTCTTTGAATTTGTTTTCCTTTTCAAGTTTCCATTGGAATTTGTACGGATTCATAATTATTTTGATGCATAGTTCTCCAAATATTTTCCATTACTGCTTTCTTAATGTACACAGACGTTTTTGCGATATAATACAGATTGGTATATGTGCATTACGTTTAAGAAATATGCACTACTGTACAAACTTCCATGAACACACCCCAACACACACACACCCCAACACACACAAATATCTATATATTTAAGCTGCATTGCAGAATCTGGAGGACTCTGTATGGTGTATTGTTTTATGTGTTGTTTTGAAAATGAGAAATCAGATCAATCCAAACTCAAATCAAAACAAAGTATTTGTCCCCCCACTCCATACTTTAATTCTGACCACAAATTACCCCAGAGAGAATGTGACCTGTGAATTTATGCTTAACAAATCAGATTAGGTATGTATCATAAACCAGTTTCCTTAACTAGAACTGTGATCATTGTTTAATCTCATCCTGACTGTGATCAGTCAAAGCCAGAGAGATTCCCTCAAGGCACAAATTCCCTTTCTCTCAGTGAACTGAAAATGCTAACCTTAGGGATGATAATAGGAAGCTGTTAGGTCATCTGCTTGTAACCGTAGTTAGCTAGCAGAAAAGTTGTCCTGGAGAAGAAGGGCATAATACAGGAAGGAAAGTGTTAATTCTATGGTATGCAGCTCTGCAAGGGCAGCCCCCCCTCTCTAGGATACTTATTAAGGGCAATTAGAGACCTGAGTAGGCCATTTCCTCTTTGCTGCCCTTCCTCACATCTGAGTAACATCCCTCCTACTGATACCTAAACATGCCACGCGTCCTAAACTCTCAAAAGGACTTGCTAGATCATTTGTCTACTTGTAGGCTATTTTAAAAGGACCAACTTATAGACTTCAGCCCATATATAATATGCCCACAGAGACAGTCATCCCGTGAGCACATGTCCAATCACTGTCATAATGGCCTATAGCGGTACTCACTACAGCTGTTTGGGAACATCCAGAGCCAAACAATTAGGGAGCACAGAAATTGGCCTCCAGCAAAAGTCCCCCCCTCCCCCCCCCACATCTTGCTAGTCTAAATTGCATGAAGGAGAAAAAAAATAGAAAACCAGTCTGACTGGCTGGGGGGTGGGGGACACCACAGAAACCAGAACAAGCAAGCAGGGAAGTATACTTTACAATTGGGAGTGAGACTAGCCAAGAAGCCAGTGGCAGTTTGGGTGGGGCTCCCTACCAATGGGAAAGCTGTCAATCCCTAGTCCCTGCAAGTTTAGCATTTCAGTTTGCATCTGAAAAGAAAATCGTGGAGCTCTTAGTGCTCTCTTGTGTTTGGTTTTTTCTTGCAAACATTTCATTATCTGTACAGTGGACTGTAACAGTCACTATGTAGGTCAAACCAACAGAAGACAGCAGAGGGCACCCATAAACTCTAACTAGCTGTCAGAAGATATGATGAAAATTGCTTTATTGCAGAACGCATGGACTTAATCATAGTTTTAACTGGGAAATTGAGCATCCTTAGACTAAGCTAAGTCCAAAAGCATTAGAGAATTGCTGGAAACCTGGTACTCAGACAAATCATCAGGCACACAGAGGTAAACAACATTTGCATACCTTTCAAAAGAGACAATAAAAATAAAAGACCAAAACATCTCCTTACCGGTAATTAATTCCCAGATAAGTAGGGATTAACACCAGGATCAATGCCAGACCAAAAACCAAGCAATAACAATACCCCAATAAAGGAATTACCTGTTTAGACAAACAATCAAATAGTAAACAATCTATTCAAGGAACTATCAAGAAGAAAGAAAAAATTCCTCCTCCCAACACTGACAGGGCAAGCCACAGTATATAAACAGCAAACCCTACTACCTTCTAGCACTGAAGCTGTTACCTTGATGGGTAATGAAACATCTGCAAGAAAAGTACCAAGCTCAAAGAGCAGCAAGGACTACACAGTTGACCCTATAGTTAACCTTGAACTACAAATATTCTCTTCTATTGAAAAGAAAATTGGTTTAGCTGCCCCAGGAGGAGGATGTTATGTGATTGTTGGGGCATGGGATTGATTTGGGAATGGTACCTAAACCCTTTATGGAAAGCCCTTAATGAATCCTTGGAATATGTAAAAATGGTAGAGGGTTGTTTTTTTAGTAAACCAATTTAAACACTTGACCACCTGAGTTTGGAATGATAACAATGATGATGATGAAAACTCCATGACCTATATGCACAGTTTCTTGATCTTCAAGTTTTAAAAATGGCATGTTTGCTTACTTGCTTATGTACATATACACACCCAGGCAATTTTCTAGGGACTTCTTTCAAAATTGTATGCTTTTGCTCATTATAAAATTTTTGTTCCTCAGCCTAAATACCATAGTGTGAACAACTATTTATCCTTGTCACACAGACTTCTCCATTTAACTTCTTCCAGCCCCGGGTTATATATTAAAAGAGAGATAGGTTAATAAATTCTATGGGCAAATAATGCCTCTGCATTTCAAATATTTACCTTGCAAATATTGAAATGTGAACCAGTCTGGATGTTTCTAAAGATTTTTACTCAACATTCATAGCTTTATTAATTACTTTCTGTATGATGAATTGTGTCCAACAACCTGTGAAATAATTCTACCAGAAAACCACTTAAGCGAATGTACTGTTAGTTTTTTAAATTATTTCTGAAATCTAGCATTTATTTGAAACCAAAATTTGAAACATTTCAATTAGCTTCATCTGCTAAATGAAAATTTAAAAAGAAAACTCAGTAGAGCGACTGACTGTGAAATATACCATATTTTTTTCTTCATGCAGAGAATATACAGCAAAGAAACTAATTGAATGTGTTTTTAGTTATTGCTTGTGATATTTTATTACAATAATCCAAATTATATCCTGGTGGGGGGAAACTCAATAACACTATATTACCCCAGTGATTAATTT